CTGAGGGCATGATTAAGAACCATGTTTCCAGCCAGCCCATTACTTATGAAATTTGTAACGAATTCCCACAGTACTTCTACTTTATGGTTTTCTGTTCAGACAGCAAATCATGGCAGCTTCTTATCTCCACCCAAGGTTTTCCCTCTGCCTCTGGGCAGATCTGATTTCTAAGGGACAGTTTTCTGACTATAGGTCCTTATTTCTTCATTGTTGGCACTTAAATTTGTAATAATTCCACTGAATGTTTCATCTGCTTCAATCCAAGATAATAATTCCCCTTATTAGAGAGACTCTTAGTTTTCTTTATGTGTTTGTTCACTGACTCCATTATTTCCTTTGGGCTAAAGGCACAATTTAAGTGCCTAAATTTATGATGTGATTAAGATGACATAGCTAGCCAATCTTCACCCTTGATGGGAAATACAATAAAGAAGGAAACAGAGCCTGGCATTGCACCACCATCCATGCTTTGAGCTCTCTGTTTTGACAAGTCAGCTCTGACTTCAGAATTGGTCCCTACCTAGGGAACCTGATGACTCTAGAGCATGAGTGACACATGATTTCTCAGCTGTTACTTTGGCCACAGGAAGGGCAAATGATTTCAAACATGAGGATCCAAGATGAGCCAATCTCTTTGATACTCATCTTGGTTGGACACACACACTGAAAATCTGTCCCCGTTCTTAATGTTCTCAATCAGTTCCCAAAGGGCTCAATGCTCGGAGGCAAATGCATCAGATAAATGGCTATCTTGTTCTTAGCTACAGCTCTCTTCCCAAGCCCTCTACACCCTGGTGAGTACTGACAGGTTTGAAGGAGGGACAGGCATGCTGCGACCCTTCTCACACAGGCAGAAGGTGGTTTATGAAGCCCATAGCTCGGTCTTATTGCCACTCGTTCCTTCATGATCTCTCTTGAGTCTTCTAGCAGGAAGAGACATTTGTCTTTTCTTAGTTCATTCACCTCTGGAACAAGTTATTCCTGTGAGTGTATCAAAGAGGATCCTGCTCTCTCATGGATGGAAGGAACATGCTGACTTTCCTCTAAAATATAGGTTAACTGTCATTTGTATCAATACTGGCTATACATTTCTGCCTCCCAGATAAATTCTGTGAAAGTTTAGGCTTTAGTCATGTATTACAATCATTCTAAGCACAAGGATTTCCACATGGTAGGTGTACTAATCACCTTTTCTCATTGTTGCTAACTGAAAATACATGACCAAATTAAGACAGGAAAAGTTCATTGTGGTCCACAGTTTGAGGATACAGTCCATCATGGCGGGGCAGGCATGGTGGCAGGAGCATGAGGCGGCTGGCTGGTCGTGTGGAATCTAGTCAGCAACCAGGGAGATCGTGTTGGTGCTCATCAGGCTTTTCGGCTCCTTTCTCCCCTTTTTATTCAGTTTTGGCACCCAGACAGTATTTAGGATGGGTCTTCTCAGTTAAACATCTCTAGAAATCCTTGTAGACATGCCCAAATGTGTCCCCCTGGTGATTTCAAATCTAGTCAAGTTGACAGTGAAGACTGACCATCACAGTAGACATTCACAAACTATTTTTGAATAAACAAATAGGTTAATGAGAAGTAATAAGTGTGTTGTGCTTTTTATTAATATATTTTAATTAATCCTTTTAGAATTTCATACATGCACACAATATACTTTAATCATATTCACCCTTCACTCTTCCTCCTAACTCCTCCAAGACCCACCTCCCATGACAAAGTGTGCTTTTTAACAGATATTTGTATCTCAAAAACCAGTAGCAGGGCTAGAGAGATGGCTCAGTGGATAAAGGTTCTTACTGTACAATCCTGAAGACATGGATTTGGGCCCCAGAACCCAGAAGAAGGTAGGAGAGGACAGACTCCACAAAGTTGTTCTCTGACCTCCACACTCATGCCATAGCATGCGTGCTCTCCAATAATAATAATAATAATAATAAATAATAATAAATAATGATAAATTTTTAGACACAGTAACAGAAAGAAGTACCAACTGATTATTAAATGCACTCAGGGGACTGGAGAGGTGGCTCAGTGGTTAACAGCACTGGCTGTCCCTGCAGAGGACCTAGGTTTGGTTCTCAGCACCTACATGGTGGCTAACAATCATTCATTAACTCCAGTTCCAAGGAATTTGATGCCTTCTTTGGCCTCTGTGGGCATTGCATGCACAGGTGCACTTACATACATGCAGGCAAAACACTAGTACACATAAAACAAAAATAATAAATAAAACATTTTAATGCACTCAGGCATTTCAAGAGCGCTTAGCCTTCCAGCATTCTTGGCTAGCAGAAGCAGGGCTTTTGCCAATAGATTATTGATAGTTCAAGTGTGTTTTCTATTTGTTTCTACATGTGTCCTAGGAAACCACCAATTGCCAGTTATTCCTGGACGAGCTAGAGTCTTCATCTTTGCATTTTTCCAAGTTGGTAATATGAATATTCACAGTACAGAAACGTCTTTGATTCACTGTTAAAAAATCAAATGCTGTGCAAGTGGTTCTTCTAAACTCATCTCTAGAAGAAATTCAAGTGCAATTTTTCAGTCTCCCAATAGCAATAAAACCCAAAATTTATTGTGCTTTCTAAGGCCAGAGCTGACATATATTATCTTATTGGAACCTCTCAACAACCCAGTGAGGTAGATAATATTATTAATCTCTATTTTGCAGAAGAGAAATGGAGCTAAGGACAGGCCAGCAACTTTCCCAGTCGGTCAGTTAGTGCTGGCAGAACTGCGCCTCCTCCCAAATAGCTGGATTTGAGATTGTGTTATTAATTTACAGGCCACCCTGACTAGTTTTGAGGAATGAACATTAATTCTACATATTTTGATAGCTTTCATCAGGGAAGAGAAGGCTAAGCGATAAGGAAGGAAAAGAAATGGGTCACTACTATTTGTGTACCTCAAACCCCTATACCCATTTCTGGTATTCTACAGATATTTGTGCCATGAAAAGGCTCCACTGATTATTCTACACTGAACCTCCTTCACCAACAAACCCTTCTATGTATCTCTCTCTCTCTCTCTCTCTCTCTCTCTCTCTCTCTCTCTCTCTCACACACACACACACACACACACACACACACACACCACATTTGAGGGTCACTTGTTTACAATTTGGATGGTGGCATTAACAAAAGGATCAAATAGACTATGGGCCAGATAGATTTTTCCCTGGTATATTCTATCAGTTATAAATTGGTCTGCAGTCTGTAATATCCTTAAATATACCAGAATTGAGCAGAACTGGCAGGACTGGACTGACTCGGCTTGAGTTGGATTTATCTTACTTAACGTCTTCCATACTGCATTTGTAATCTCCAGGCTTGTCAGGACCCTCAACTATACAGGTCCATTTCAGCCTTTGAGTTTTGAGTTTGATTGACCTGGTCTCTCTTCTACATGAAATGAGTTGTTTGTTCATCAAGAGCTTGGGTCCTTCAAAGTATCTGAGATGAATGTGCTGTTATAAAGTGTGACTTATCCTTCTGCTTTCTGACTGTGGATACAATGTGACCAGCTGTCTGAAGTTCTTGCCACCACAACAGACTGTATCCCTTCTTAAACTGTGACCAAAATAAACCCTTCATTAAATTGTTTTTGTCAGTTATCTGTTCATAACAATGAGAAAAGTAACTAAAACGAATGCTAATCTGGGTTGCAAACCAGATTCAGTAGGATCTATCTCTGGGCTGATACTGAGTCATCTATGATACAAGTTTATTTTTTGGAGGACTCTGGATTAGTCAGATTCAGGTTATAGGCCATTGTTGAGTGGGTTTCATCTCTGTATTGGGGTGATCATTAACAGAACTTTGGGCCGGGCTTTGGAGTTCATCAAAAGCTGTATTAGTTTGAACTTACTTGAAGCTAGACTTATCTGGGATTCGACAACAAGCTTTGACCATGTCTGGGCTGAGGTTGTAGATTGCTGGCTATGGGATACTCTTGGAACATCTTCCTGTAGACTGTGGCTCAGCCTCTGGGCTCTGCTTCATTACTGGTAGTTTTGTTTATTCTATCACCAAAGCCAACACTCAGCTGGTTCATATTCTTTAGAAACTGTTGCTATCAATGATAAATTGCTTCTGGTAAATACCCTCTTGACCTTTTTGCACATGGTGGGTGGTCCCAGGGACCACTGAGACCTCCAAGAACCTACAACAGTGGCCCAATCAATTGACATGAGATGTACTGAAATGTGTCGGATTTGTCCATATTGTGGCAACTATTACTAAGGAAAAAAAATCCCCCAAACTTTCTTCAGTCTGTTCTGTTGGAAGCCTTTACCATAACCTTTGTCAAGAACCCAGGCAGCACTTGGGCTCCCATGGAGATTCTGAGAAGATTAGATGGCAGTGCTACACAGCACCAGGCGGGTACTTGACAACTTGATGGAAGGATCTGGATTACTGAGAAGAGCATCAAAAGGGGAGTAGGTCCATAAGAAGCTGGTAGGTAGGCAGGTCACATTTAATAACTACTATCTATCCAGGACCTCAGGTACAGCAATTGCTGTGCCAGACTAAACATCGGTCTGGTGGCAAACTATGCAGTCTTTTAAAAGACAAAAGAACTTGAAATTTCTGGAATCTTTAAGTATCTTGGGATCTTTCCCAAAGTGGATAAAACATCTGAATATTTGCAAGCTACTCTCTTTTACCATCTGTGTCCTGTTGGCCCAGGACAGCACCACCTCCTTACTCTTCTGTTAGAATGCTCCTTAGTGAAACTGACACCTGTCAAATTAACAGAGTTTTCCCAGGGTTTATTCTCCTGACTTCCACAGCAGTGGTGTTGGTGACTATGTTTTTCCAAGAAACTTTTTCACACCCTGGCTTCCATATACACAGTGGGTTTCTGTTGGGGATCCTGCCCCAACACAGGAGCTGGGGAAAGGGAAGTGTGCTGTCTGCCCATTACCCGCAGCCTCCCTGGGAGACAATCAGACACCACAGGGAGCCAGTCAAGCAGGAACTCATTTATTGCAGGTGTTTACAGAGCTTATAAAGGTAAAAACCACAAAGGAAAATCCCCTCCCCAACCAAGTGTCCAATCATGTTAAAGGTGAACTTGAGCATGCAGTCTCCTCTCCATAGCACAGCATTGTGTTTGCGGGGTGATCACTGCTGCCAGGATGCACGGAAATGACAGGAGCCAATCAACGATTCATCAAAACAAGTCTGGCTGTGTTCCGGCCATTTCCTGTAAGCACCAGACAAGTCCGATCATGGCCTGGCTGTTTCCTCTAGGAGCCATCCTGCCTCACCCCTGGCCTCAGGCCCCTGCCTCTCTCCCCCTACTTTGTTTTAAAAGTGAGTTTCCTTAAGGATAGCCCCTGGGGATGGGGCGCACTGTCCCCATTACCCTCTGCTGCTATGGCCTCCCTGTCTTAGGTTTCCTCTCCTCAGGTACTGAAGTTGCCCGTTCTTGAGTAACCATGATTGCCCTCATGGCCCCTGTCTTGGGTTCATCAGTCTAGGAGGGTCTTACCCATCATTGGGACCAGCCATGCCCTTTTGCAGTTAATATACGGGGGTCTATCCCATAAGAGGGCAAAGCAACCTGGGCCCTCAGGCTAGCTCAAGCATCCACGCCTGGATTTGTCTTGAGGAGGGGCCCAAGGGGGACTGGGTGGCCAGGGCAAGTTGGACCAGGACTTTCTTCGTCTGTCTTTGTCTTTTGATAACTGAGCAGAGACACCTGAGGAAAACAAAAGCTAGCACAAGCATTAGAAACATGCTCCCATACCTTACTTAAAAAAAGGAGGAGTCCATCGATAGGACGGGGGCCCGGGTATTATTTAGAGCAATAATCTAATTGGTCATCAATATGGAATAATTAAGAAATTGTTGGTTCCAGTGGCTGTGAATATAGTCCACGAGTTGTAGGCACAATTTAATAATATTTTGAACCCTTAAGGGGTGAGACAAAGTGACCTAAAGTGAGGGTCACAAGCTGGCAGAGCCATGTCTTTGGTAATTGCCAGCTCTTCACTTAAGAGAAGGGCAAGAGTATAGGTGGGGAAGGGACCAAGACCCAGAGGTTCTTCGCTTTTGTAACAGATGGCTAGCAGGAGAAGGAGTACCATTATTGACAAATTTTGGTCAGCCATCTATCGATCAAATCTTGAATAATAATGGTAACAATAAAGATGATGATGGCCAGGGCAGCAGCAGCGAGCATGGCAATGAAAGCTTTCTATCCAAAATACTCCATCCTGTAAGACATAGAAATCCTCCTCAAAGGGCTGTTACCTTTGGGACAGGGTTATTCCTGCATCTTTAGATTCCTTGCAGGTACCTAGATGGGTTGGGGTTCATCTGTGGGAAAGACGCATCCAAACCCCCTGCCCATAGTAAGGAGCAGGTTGGGTCCTCGCCATTGGCCCATTACTGGATCCTTCCATCTAACCCGTACCTCTGGTCTTTGCTACTGACGTCCCCAATGTTTTTGGAATCGAGATTCCAATTGACCTTTTTGAAAATTGAGGATATTGATGGTAAATAAGGCTGAACCTAGCTGTTGGTGGGGGCTTACTCCCCCTTTTTGTTTTTGTAATTGGGCCTTTAAGTCCTGATGGTTACGTTCTATGATAGCTTGGCCCTGGGGGTTAGTCCCTGTGTTATGGTGGATTCCCCATAAAGATAAGAAGTCCTTGTGATGGCTAATCCTGGGTATCAACTTGATTGGATCTGAGATTAATTGAAATGAAAGAGATCTTGATTGGATCATCTAAAGCCATAAGACACACCCTAAATGTGGGCGTTACCTTCTGATGGCAGCTGGTATAAAAGACCAAGGCAGAGGAGAACGCGGGTCTTTTTGCGGCTTGCCTTCTCTCTCGCTGGTGAGTTTGTCTTGCTGCTGTAGACTGAAGACCGGCTGATCCTTTGGAATTTGTCAGACCTTCAGCACTGGATTGGGACTACTGAGACATCCAGCCTTGTGGACTGAGCGACTACAGATTCTCAGCCTCTCCAGTGTGGTGCAGCCATTGTTGGACTACTCGGACTCTATCCTGTGAGCTAAGCTGATAAATCTCTATACATATTCATTCTACTAGTTCTGTTTATTTGGAGAACCCTGACTAATATAGTCCTGTAAGCTTTTACTTATGAAGCATGGTCCATTGTCAGTTTTAATCTTTTGAGGTAATCCCAGAGTAGCAAAGCACTGGAGAAAGTGAGACTGAGCATGTCTAGACTTTTCTCCTGTATGGGTGGCAACCCAACAGGCGTGTGAGAATGTGTCAATAGACACAAAAACATACTTGAGTTTTCCAAAAGGAGCGTAATGTGTGACATCTGTCTGCCAAAGAGAGTTAGGCTTCAGCCCCCTAGGGTTTACCCCTGGTTGTTGGAGGGGTGGCACCTGTAGAAAGGGTTGATGAGACTTACAGGTATGTATAATCTTTTTTAGGTCTTTGATGGGGACTTAAGGGAACCTCTTATGGAGTCCCCGCCAATTTACATGGGTATGATTATGAAGTTGTTGAGCTTTTTCCAGGCCTGCTGATAGGATATGGGTAGAAGCCATTTTGTCTGCCTCTGCATTGCCTTGGGAGAGGAACCCAGGCAGTCCTTGGTGGCCCCTAAGGTGCTGTAAGAAAATGGGGGCCCTTCTTTCTGTTAACAGTGTTCAAACCTGGATCATTAGGGGGGTAATAGGGTTGTCATCTAGCCAAATATGAGAATTTAATAATCCCGGGAGAAGGTTAACTACATATAGGCTGTCAGAGAACAAGTGCATGGGGTCATCTACTTTGGACAAGGCTAGGGCAATGGCCATGAGTTCTTTAAATTGAGCAGAGTCCTAGCAAGTGTGAATGTATGTTTTTGGTTCTGTTCCTACCGCTGGGTAAATTACTACAGTGGCTCCGAATTTTCCTCCATCAGTAAACACATTATATGCCTCCATCAGAGGGTTTTTGACAAAAAGCCTGGGGGCCCCCTAGTGGAGGGCGCGAAAGGAGGTTACCCATTTATGAGGGCCATAATGACAGTTCAACTTTCCCAGAAAGCCCTCCAAGGCTGTGGCCATTCGGCTGTTGTTTCTGCAAAGCCATTCAAAGTCCTTTAGCCAATAAGGGATAATAATCTTGTGGGGGTCAATGCCATAATGTCTCAGGGCTATATCCTGCCCTTTCTCAATTAGGTCAGCCAACTGGTCCATGGGTGTGTACACCCATGGAGTGCCCCCTAGGGAAGTATGCACCCATTGGAGGGGGCTCCACCCTTGTATGAGGACAGATGTCATTAGGGCCTCACCAGGGAACACCCATAGTTTGAGGTCCTTTCCAGGCATATAGCGGGCCAGTTGGGCTTGGGCCAGGGCCTCCTGGACCCCCTGTAAAATGTCTAGGTGTTGCAGGTTTAGATGGATTAGCTCTGACGGCTGTTTGCCTACTAACAATTGGAACAGGGGCACCAGTGTCTCAGTAGAGACAGGCATCCAGGACCATAGCCAATTAATCTCCCCCAACAGTTTTTGAAGTTCTGTCAGGGTCATATTAGGTTTAATAGCCAGTTGTGGCCTTAAGGGACTCACCCCCTCCATGAACAGTGTAGTCCCCAGAATCTTAAAGGGGGCGACAGTCTGTATTTTGTCTGCGGACATTTGAAGCCCTCTCACCTGGAGGCATTTTTGGGTGACCTCATATAATTCCTGCAATTGGGACTTGGTGCCCCAAAATTACATCATCCATGTAGGCATATACAGTAGCATGTGGCAAAGATTCCGTTGGGCTCAAGAGAGCCCTCACATAGCTCTGACAGAATGCTGGGCTGTTGGCCATGCCTTGGGGCAAGACTGTCCATTTGTACCTCTCATCAGGCATGCTAAAGTTAATGGAAGGCACAGAGAAGGCAAATTTTTCGCAATCTTGGGGTTGTATGGGGATAATACGTTGTTCCTGTATAATATGCCTCAAAGCCTGGAGCTTTGTCTCGGGCAAGGGCCACTGTTCCACCCAAACCGGGCTCCCTGGGGACCATTGGATTGCAGGAACTTGAGGAACAGCGGCCCCTAGAATTGGGGGTGGACCCAGGGAGACTCAGACTCCTCCCCCCTGTAGTTTGAGAGGCGGTCAAGGGGGTGTCTAACCCTGTTCATCTCCTCATCATTGAGGACCCCCTCGATAAACTCCCTACTGTCTGTGGTCACAAAAACATCCCCCCCAGGAGATCTCTCCCAAAGAGGTTGTAGGCAAGCCCCTCAGCCACCAAAGGTCTGAACTCTCCCTTAGTACCATCTGGGTCCTGCCAGCAAAGTCAATTCTTAAGCTCCCATGATAGCATGGTGCCACCGACACCCATCACCTGTGGGCCAGGCTCGAGGGGCCATCTTCTGGGGACTTCTTCCTTCCTCAGGATGGTCCTATCTGCCCCGGTGTCAATAATGCCCCGGAACCTCCGCCCATCTATCAAGATGTCTATCTTAGGGTGAAGCCCTGGGATGATGGGAACTGTCCAGTGGGTGGTGGGCCCTCCAGGGCCTGTGCACCCTCCCCCTTTTGGTGACAGGGCTGAGGGTTGCCCCAAACCTAGTTTAAAGGTTTGCCCTCCACATCATACCTGGACCGGCAGTCCTTTTTCCGATGAAACCCCTTGCTGCAGCGTGGGCATGGGGCTTTGGGCTTGTCCCCCTCCACCTTGAGAGGGGCTCTCCCTCACGGGCAGTCTCTCTTTAGGGGCCTGGGCTGGCTGCACCCAAAACATCTCCGGTCCTCAGCCCTGGGGCACCTATCCTGCAGCCCAAGGCCTGTGAGGGCTTCTCTAAAGGCTGTAGCTAGAGCCTCTGTCTGTCTTAAAGACCGCGGCCATAGCCTCAGTTGCCTTTGTTTTGGTCTCTATGTCCTTTGAGGCCACGATCCACCTGCTCATGAAATGGTCCTTTAACCCCATGCAGGTGACCCTATGTTCGGTATTCATACCGTCCCATACTAGCATTTTTATGAACTGTTCTCTGAGTGGCCCAGGGGGAAACTTTCTCTTTAGACTCTTTTCAACCCTATCTACAAACTCATGTAATGGTTCCCCTGAGCTTTGATGGATCCCCGATATGGGTGGCTCTGTGGATCCATAGGGCCCATATCCAACTTATGCCAGGCCTTGAGGCCAAGGGCCCTGACCTGTTCCATATACAGTGGTGGAAGTACTGCCTGCTGGGCACCCATGGCAAAGGCACCCGTGGTCCCTGTCAGTATGCTGAAAGTGATAGGGACGGGGGGGGGGGTTGGCAGCACGGTTATTTTCCGCCCGGACCCGACATTCCTCTTGGTATAGTGCTGCCCATTTAATAAACAAGGGGCTGGGGAGGACTGCCTTGGCTAGATCCATCCAGTCTTTGGCCATACAGGGTTGATATATCAAGCCCTGGAGAAGGGTGGCAACCCAGGGGGACCCGGGGCCATCCTCGGCCACTGCCTTCTTTAACTCTTTAAGATCTTTAGCCTCCCAAGGGTACCAGGCGGCCGGGTGTTGGGGTCCAGGATTGATGTTTACAGGGAAAGCTTGGACCAGTCCTGCAGGAGCGGAGAGCTCTGATGGACTAAATCGGGCCCCACCCACCCCAAGGGTCCTTTCCCTCATGCTCATCCCAACCGCCCGGGGTTCCCCCTTTATCTTCCCTGTTCTCATCACCCCCCTTTCCAGATCTCTCCATAGTATTCGCTTCATTTTCAATCGTTGGGCTCTCTCCTTATGAAACGCGACCCATTGATCTTCCCCAGCAACCTTATCCACCCAGGGGTCGGATCGGGTTGAAAACATGACTTAAGGGCTGAGATCGTTGGGTAATACCCCAAGGGTGGTTCCTCCCCTCTATTGATCTCTGCCTTGCAAGCCAGTTGTTCAAGCCGATCCCAGGTAGCCCACTGGAATAAATTGCCGGTGGGCAGCCAGGGAGCGAGATGTAGGGCGGCCTCCCAGACCCTCTTTGATGAGGAATCGGACTGTTCTAACCCCCTGGATCTCAGCATATGTCTCAGCACCGAGAGTGCTGGGTCCTCACTTTTACTTGTTGCGTTACCCATCTCTTGGGGTCTCACTTCCCTCGGTACTCACCCGATTAGCCCCTGCGATCAGCTCCCGTAGTGGGTCCGAGTGGTCTTCAGGCCCCACGTTGGGTGCCAGATGTCGGGGATCCTGCCCCAACACAGGAGCTGGGGAAAGGGAAGTGCGCTGTCCGCCTGTTACCCACAGCCTCCCTGGAAGACAATCAGACGCCACAGGGAGCCAGTCAAGCAGGAACTCGGTTATTGCAGGTGTTTACAGAGCTTATAAAGGCAAAAATCACAAAGGAAAATCCCCTCCTCAACCAAGCGTCCAATCATTTTAAAGGTGAACTTGAGCATGCAGTCTCCTCTCCATAGCACAGCATTGTGTTCGCGGGGTGATCACCGCTGCCAGGATGCACGGAAATGACAGGAGCCAATCAGTGATTCATCAAAACAAGTCTGGCCATGTTCCAGCTGTTTCCTCTAGGCACCAGACAAGTCCGATCACGCCCTGGCCGTTTCCTCTAGGCACCATCCTGCCTGGCCCCTGGCCTCAGGCCCCTGCCGGTTTCCTCTTGTACATCTTCAACCTCAGAAATATCTTCCCCCAACATGGATATCACTATGTACAATGTTCTTCAAGACTTAAATTTGAGGACAGAAGAGTTTCTTCTAAAGCTCACATGTCCATTTCTATGGGTATTATTGGGAAGGCCAGTCAATCTCTTCTGGAATGTTGGGGTCCTGGGAAACAGATAGAAACAATGATACTCACAGTTCAATCAGAACTCTAAAAATTACCTCAAAAGGATGGTAACACTTGGTTAGGGGACTAGATATTTGAGCATCTCTAACCTGTGAAATCAATCCTGGAAATGATAGTAGGATCCACTGGAGATTCCCCAAGCCTGACTCTAGCCTCAGGTGATAACCGTCCTTTCACCATCTCTACACGCACTAAGAATGGGGCTACTGCAGCATGACGATCAAGGTAAAAGGTGTTGCCAATTCAGGGCACCTAACGATGCCAGTTCTTCCACTGAGGTACTATGCTAGGATCATACAAAAGGCTTCAGTACTATCGTGAGACTGTGGACATCCATTTCAGCTTTTCCAGGGAATAACCACATCTCAGCAACTCAGTGGCAAACTCACACCATAGGGATGTTTGTAGGGCCGTTTCTTGCAGCGAACAAGTCTTCTCTAAGTACAAGAGGCATCCCAGAATGAATTTCTTGGTGTGTGTGTGGAGAGAGAGAGAGAAAGAGAGAGAGAGAAAGAAGAGAGAGAGAGAGAGAGAGAGAGAGAGAGAGAGAGAGAGAGAGATTGTATCAAAAACATCTTTTCAGAATTGGAAGACAGGCAGAGGCAGCTGGTGAATGACTCCAGGTACCTCTGTGCTCTCTCAAGGGCAGAGACATTTGTCTCTGAGGGACACTTTTCTATCCTCCCCACTTTCTTGCAAATGCAATTCACATGGAATACCCTACCCCTCTGGAGTCTGTGCCTCTGCCTGTCCATAATGGTGTCTCTGCCTGGAACCCTCAGTTCTTTCCCAGACTAGCTTCCTGAACTATTCTTCCTGTAACATTCTCAAGACATCCCCTCTGTCACCCAAACTCTTAAACAACCTTAGAGGGCCCCAAGGACATGAGGCTGGGGAAAGACATTTTTAATACCTTCTTGGTTCCTCTTAATCCTAAGTTCCTCCAGGGATACTCAAGCCCTTTCCCTGAATGCCAGTCTCACAAACACTCTCTTTACTGCCTGTTCTCTGCTTCTTTTCTTCATGGACCAGTGTCTTGCTGGTTTCCCAGCCTTCACTGTAAGGCTGCTTTTTGTAGACTTCCTCTCCCTTGTTCTTCTCACAGAGCTACAGTGGGGGCCAGGATGGGTTTTACATCTTTTCAGGCAGAAGAAGGTATAATGGAGGAAAGCTTGGACATGTTAAGTGTATTTTTACTCCTTCCTCCCAGTTATTTTTTCCTGAAGCAGCAATTCTCAAAGTATGGCTCTCAGTAGATGAGATCTGAAAGAGCAGTTTCATAGACAAGCAAATCTGGAAAACAGTTAAATCATTTTTTTTCATACAGAAATTCTCCAAGCTTTAATACTATAATAAATATTTATTAGTTACCTATTATTGCATTACAAATTGCCCCCAAAATTAGCAGCACAGAACACTGACAAATACTATCTCTTAATTTCTGTAGGTCAAGAATTAGGGAAGGGCCAGGTGAGAGACTTGCTTGGGTCTTATTCAAGGTAGATGAAGCCTGGGTTGCAGTCACCTGAAGGCTTGGCAGGAAACAGAGGTCGCACTCTCAAGATGATGCTGGCTGTCAGCCAGAGGTGGCAGGGTCCTGCACTGTGGGATCCTCCATAGGGGTGCTAGGGTTTCTCATGGCATGCCACTGGGCTACCCCAGGGTGAGCGATCCAAGAGTGCAAGCGGAACAAGAACTGTGTGCCTGAGTTTCATAAGCCACACAGCATCAGTTCTGCACCGTCTCATCAATTACAGTCTTACTGTGTGGGAGATGTGTGAAAACTTGAGATTGTGGAACCCTGGGGATGATTTTGGAGGGGAGCTAGTGCACTGCATTATGATAATGTGTTTATTTGAAGACACAATAAATGCTTAAAGCATTGTAAGATACTAGAATTTCATGGTACCTGCTTCGGGGGAAACATCCAGGATGGTCATGTTGGGGTGTAAAGGTCTCACTCAGAGGCTCTTGAGAAGAGGGCAAGGCGTATGTCTGTCTGGAGGAAGAAACTTGAAACCGGAGCAAGAGTGTATATTGACAGGTGACTTCCAGAGTGGGTGAGATGGGAAGGTAGAGCTCCTGTCCTACCTTCAACTAAGAGCTAAGGAAGACCCTGCCTCTAGAAAGCCAAGCACGGGACTTTCAAGAGAGTACCAAATGGCTTGAACTGTCTACAGTCTTCAAAGCTGTTTACTTCCTCAGTCCTACATCAAAGATGGGGAGGGAAAAAAAAAATCAAAGTTCACAGGTTAAAAGGAAGAACTGTTGCCAATGACTCCCTAAAACTCATAGATGGAGACATCTAGACTGCTCAGCTGTTCCAAGCCCTGAGCAGCCCAGCCTGGATTCAGTGGCACTATGTGCTGATTTCAACCAGACCCTTTGTGATCTACCCTAAGACTATGTAAGGTCACTTCATGGTTCAGATCACAAAGGCCTTGTTCTTCCCTACTTCATTTGCACAGTGGCTTATGTTTGAAAAGGTCCTAGCCTGGAGTTGGCGCCGCCCTGCTTGGAGGAAATGAGTTCTCATCAAATGTTTACAGTGACAGTATCCGCAGATGCAGAAAAGAAAAAAGCATGGAAACGCTAGAGAATAGAAAAGTGGCCATGGCACAGGCAAGGCGCACGGGAAAGGAAAGAAGATGAATAAGAAGGAACAAGGCTTGCAGCTTACCTGAAAACAAGAACGAAGTTTACCTGCAAGTGGAAGTCCACACCAGCTCTGCCCACACCGCTCATGGACCCCTAGGGCACTTTCGCGGCCCTTGGCCACAAGGGGGCACTCTTAGGACTCTTGTCCCCAAAACCAAGGGGGTGGGGGAGAGGGGAGGGAGCAGAGGCACCACACTACCCCAACCGAGAACAATCTGAAAACCCACCCCATCATACTTTAAATCTGGGACAAAGAGCCGGTGGGACGGAACTGCTTCGACTGCAAAGCCTCAGGAGCAGCCGGGGAGAGGCCTGGCGGCCCGAGCTCCGCAGCCCCACAGAGCAGAGCGCCTGGGGTCCTTGAAACTCTAAACCCTAGCGCAGGACCGGCGGAAACCGGAGCGAAAGCCTGGAACTTCTGCCGACAATTGCTTCCGGGCGTTTGCAGCGAGCGACGGGACCCGACCCGCCTGCGGGCCGCGGATGGCAAGCCCCTGAGGTCGCGCGTGGACGCGGGACCGGCCTGCGCAGGGGCTGCGGCATGGACGGCGCGGGGCGCCTGGGCGCGGGCCTGCGGAGGCTCTGCGTGGCGGCGCTTGTGCTGGTGTGTGCGGGGCAAGCGGGCAGCCGCGAGGACGGAGGCCCCGCCTGCTACGGGGGCTTCGACCTGTACTTCATCCTAGACAAGTAAGTGCCTGGAAGATACTGGGCCGGCGGTCCCCTGGGGGGACGAGCGGCTGCTGTGCTAGCCCGGCCAGGCTGCCCGGCTGCTTTCTGGTCCCGGGCCCTGAGTTTGCAGGACCCCAGAAAATGCAGTTGACGCCATTTGTCTGATTCCTAAGGTGGGAACCTTGCTGAGAAGGGCTTGCTAACCAGCAAGAGAACTTGCCAGCCCTTCCAGAATCAGAAGCGGCGAGGTTACTTGAAAGACAACCTCCGGCTCCTTTAACAAATGCTGGGACACAAAATGCAGTTGCCTTTGTTACTGATGACCTAATGGATGTTGACCCTGGGTACTTAGTGGAGGACCTAGGCAGAGATTCTCCACCAGCTGGCCCTTTGTGTAGCAGGGTGCTGAGCACAATCCCTGGCCTCCACCCACGAGATGTCAGTAACTGTATCCACCTCCCCTGAGTGATAACCAAAAATGCCTTCAGGTACTGGCAAATGCCCCCAGCGCCCTTCATCTTAAGAACCCAGATGTAGGTAAATTCAGGCTTTTGGCCTTTTGACTAATGGGCTGCCTGGGAAGCTGGCAGGACCGGCCTCCTTGCTAAGATGGACTTTGCACAAGGGGAGCTGAACTAAGACTAGTTCGACACTTCCCAGATACCCTTAGGTTTGCCAAGCCACAGCCACTCAAGGGCTTTATACTCTCAACAGTAAAAAGCCCAATGATCTGAGATCTGAGCTCCTTAAAAGTATGCAAGTGCTGGTGCCAGGAGAGGCACTTGTAGTTACAGCGGTGGGGAGATGAATTTCACAGACTGGAAAGTATTTGGGAGTTGGAAAAAGAGTCCTGAAAAATAAGCTAGCCACTGGACAGTTGCTCCTGGAGTTCGGTTTTTCCGTAGTTTGTTTTGAACTACAGATTCTTTGGATGAAAAGTAAAATCTCTTTCTTACAGATTTATGAGAAGGTGGATACTGAAAATACAATCCGGGGCTAAAAAAATGGAAAATCTTTTGTTGCTTTAGTGGATGGGAGGCCGGAGGTTTGGGGGCTTAGGGAGACTGGGGGACCACGTCTGAAACCAGAAGTGCTCACCATCATGCTCCTTAGAAAAGGGGTTCAGGACTAGGGCTGCAGTTGGGGGCTAGCTTAGTTGGTAGAGTGCTTGCCTGCTATGCACAAGCCCTGAGTTTAGCCCAGAGCAAGGATATAAACCCACTGTCCTGGTCGGGGTGCATGCCAGTAATCCCAGCACTTGGGAGGTGGAGAGGTAGAAACAAAAGGATGAGAGTTCAGGTGTGTGCTGGGCTACATAGTGAGTTCCAGGCCAGCCTGGTACATTAGACTCTGTTAACAACCAAACAAAACAAAACAATACCACAAGTTCAGCGGGACCTAAGGGAAACCTGAACAATCACTACTCCTCCAGTGGAATGACTGGGTGCTATGGAGATAACCAGGTGTCCTAAAACTGAACTTTACAGTCCAAGTTTTGAAAGAATTTCTTTGGGAGATGCAAGAAACTTGACAGTCATTCTAGAATTATCTTTGGGGGGGTGTAGAAATATCTAAAATATTTTTTGGAAAAGAATAGTGAAGAAATACTTTCCAAATATTAAAAGGTATTATGAGGCAAATTAATTTAAAAAACAGGATATAAAGGCCAAAGAACATGTCAACAAAATAGAAAAATCTAGGTATGTAAGTACATGTAAGCATTTAGTGGAATTTCAAATGAGTGAGGAATAGGGTTATTTTTAAAATGGTTTTGGACAAATGAATGATAACATAGGGAAAGAAATAAGTTAAATGTGTGTGTTACTCCACACACCAGGACAATCCATGAAGGACTGAAAGTAACATTTTTAAAGTGAAGTGACCAAAGACCTGGAAGGTAATTGGGAATATTACTGTAATTTCAGGTTTAGAGCTTTCAAAGCATAACTGCACTGCAGAAGCTGTGATGGAAAATACAGGGGGATTTGACTATACTAACTTTGTAGTCTATTGGTGAAAAAAATATGTAAAATATAGCAACAGGTGACAAAAATTTTTGTGACCTAATTTACTTTCTGGAGATTGATCTTAGCATATAAAAGCTAGTTTAAAATAGAAAACAGCCTTACTACATAATTCACAAGAGAAAAATACACATGAAAGCCAATAAATGAACAAAAAGGTCCCATTTCACTAGTAATTAGAGAAATGGAAAAGATCAGACAAGGCATCATATCTACTAAGTTGGCAAAGGTCTGAAAAGAATTATAGTATCTAGTATTGGCACCTGCATCACGTCCCCCTGGGCAGAATGAATTGGGCACCTTATGGATGTGCACTGTGTAGTAGATCTTTCTAGAAGTATGGAAGGGCTCTGTGTTCATGCGACAAGTACAGTAGCTACTCACCATATGTGATCCTTCATGTAACTGAGGACATGAACTTTTAATTTTATTTAAGTTTTAATTTCAACTCACTAGCCACATGTGGTTGCCATATGAACAGTACAGACAAGATGCTTTGGCAGCAAGTATCAGATGCTTTTAACACAGCAAAGAGTTCCATCCAACAAGTCCATATCTTTAAAAAATCCAGTCACAAAGGAGCTCCTTATCCATGGCAGTGCTGTTTATAATAAAAAGCTGAGAATTACCTAAATATCCAGCAATGTGATTTAAGTAATGCATGATATATGCAGGGCATATATGCAAACTGCATATTACGCATGCTGGTAAGATATTTTAAAAGTACATAATGTGCATAATGTGTTATTAGATAAAAATACACTTTCCAAACATTGTATGCATCCTACATTTGTAAAAAGTTAAGCCTGGTGGGATGCCAGCACTTGGGAGACTAAGGCCAACCTGGGCTAAGTAACTAGATTCCGTTGCAAAACAAAACAAAGTTAAACACGTGCATGTGTGTCTTGTATTAATCAGTTATAGTGGTATTTCTCTCTAGAAGATACCATTTTAACTTCTGTATTTTCACGTTTTTCTATAATAAACATACTAATTTTATGTTCAACCAAAATGTTTTTTTGACTTTTTAAGGAACCAAATGTGGAGAGGGTCTCTTCTAGCCAGTCCCTTGCTATTAACAAGGAAGCTGCTTCTTTTACATTTCATCTTAAACCTCTGACTTCTTCCGTTGTCTGTTTTGTGCTGAATGAAAAGCTTGCTAGAACTTGTTTGATTGTATGCATACCTCTAGCTTTGCCAGGCTAATCTATGAGATTTTTAAGTGCAGTGCTGAGGACTGGCTGGGCCACCAGGCAGCTATGGCAAACAGGCCGCAGGGTGGTCCCTAAAGATACTGTCCTCTGTCCTAGAAAGAACCTCCCCAGACTGTTGTGCAGCACCAACCGCAGCACAGTGGGAAGGAAAAAATGCTGACTTGGTTTTTGCTTGGACTTCTAAGACCCTTTGGCTTGTTGGATGCTGGCTACAGGCTGAAACAGTGGATCTCAGGGAACTGAATCTGTGGCTTCACTCTTCACCCCTGCAATTCCCTTCCCTCCTGTGACTGGTTCTCTTTTCCATGGTATTAACTCTCCACTCGATTCAGCTTCAAGCAGGATGCATCCCTGGCCTGGAGGGAGCCCACATTATATAGTTAATGGAATGTCATGTCTTCTCAACTAGGAACGAAGACTGCATAATGATAACCCAGAAGACCACAGTAACACAATAGGGCGTTATTAGCAGCTCTGGCAACAGGGCCGCACAAGGCTTTATACTGATGGAATTTCATGTTTATATAAACATGCTTTTCTAGTTATAGTTGGGAGTAGTGTGCTGGGAATTCGGTCCAGGGTTTGAAAAGTCAGATTTAGAAGACTGCTATTCAGAGAAAAACAACAAAGGACCCCTCGCCTCTTTTGTCTTCCCAGGGGTCTTCAGGACCCATCCCTGGGTGTGAACTTATCTTTCCTTCCTGGCTGGGTCCTCTGTCATTGTAGTATGTATTTACGTGCCATGTGTTGGGCTGCTTTATGTAGAGAGAAAAGGTGGATTTTCCATCTCTAGTCTAAGGGAAGGGCTGGCTGTGGTACACTTATTGTAAAGACATCAAAAATAGAACACAGAGAAGACAGCAGGGCTGGGGAAAGGGGTTTGGGCTGAAGAATGGGAGTAGAGGCCGAATAATTTTATTTACAGGGCTTTCCAACCAAAGCTTGTCATTTCTTCCTGCACCCAATAAATCCTTACAAGAGGAAAAGCCCCATAGCCTCGCCGTGAGTTCCTGTCCATGTCCATCAGAGTCCCACCCCTTTCTGAGAATTGGATTTGCTGAACCAATTTTCTTTTTTTCCCTAAACAAAGGGACTCCATCTTGTTATACTCTCCACCAAGTGCCCCAAGGTGGTGCTGAACTGTAGGGCTATTATTGTGTGTGACACCCCAGGAACATAGACACGTGTGCAATGGAAACA